CAGTGCAAAGTTTGCGCCGATTGAGCGCCTCTGTGAAAGTTATGATTTTCGAGCAAGCAATACAAAAGGGCGAATTTGATTTATTTTGGCACTTTTCAGAGAAGTCATAACTTTTCATAGAACGCTCTATCAGCGCAAATTCTGCACATTTAGAAAGAGCTGGTGAAAAAACCTACAATACCGACTGCTCCGATTTTTGTTGCAAGTTTATCAATTTTTTATGACCCTACACAGAAAATTCAATTTTTGACCAATTTTCTTCTACCGCTCCTATCTGTGCAATAGATGATCAATAGTAAGCAATTGAGATGTCTTTATAAAGAGCATGACCTACTCTTTCATATTAAAATAAGAGCGGTCCAATCGGTTGAAAAATTCAAAAGTTATGAATTTTTGAATTTGGTGCGAAAGAACTTTCGGTATAACCTAATATTATTTTTTTTTTGAATTCTAAAAAAAGTTTTTCAATTTGTACCTAAATAAGGTACAAATCAGAGCTCTTCATACAACGCTTTTTTACCTTTTCGCTCTCCCTCCCCCCCCCCCCCCCCTAGGCTCACATACCCCTTTCACCTGGAAGGTCGGAAACAGCCGAATCCCCTTCACCTGGGGAGAGCCCGGCTCCCCCTATCGCACCTACGCTACCCACTCTTTTATATCCTTGCCTTTATTCCGCTCACGAGCCAGCTTCCTTAACTCATAGTCGCGGTTCCTTTCCTCTGCTGTCATGCTTCTCCTCACGAAGACATGAGGGAAGCCACGATTCCTCAACAACCGCGCATTTGAAAGTGCTACCTGCCAGTAATGCAGGGTGTCCCAAAAAAAAGTATCGAACGTTTGATCGTTAATATCTCTCTTCTAAAGAAGTCTTTTCTCTTGCTTCTGATACCAATCTGTAGAGCTGGCCTAAACTTAGATTTGCAATAGAGAACGAATCACTCATTTCTCTTCATTACTGTAAGATTACGGTAAAAACTTCAAAAGCGGTAAGCAATGAAAGGCCATATTTTGCCTCAGGAAGGAAACAAAACAGCCTGAAAGCTTTTACACTAAGTTAATTAGAGTTGTTGATTATAACTGTAAAGTTCCCAACTTATTATGATGCTTCATTGAAGAGTTATGCCAGGTGAGAGGTAGCGGCCTTTTTTTCAATGTTCCTAAAAAGTGCGATTACACCGTTTAGAAAGCTTCGTAATCTCGTGAATAGTTGAGTATTGAACTCAGGGTCTATAAAAACCCTATTACACAAGTTTTCACAATTTTTTGAAAAATTTTGAAACGGCAGCTTTTCCACATTGACACCATATGTTTCAAGTTTCTACCGTAATCCTACAGTAATGAAGAGAGATGGGTGAATCGTTCTATAATGCAAATCTAAGTTGAAGCCAGCTCTACAAAACGGTACCTGAAGCAAGGCAAAAGACTTCTTGGGAAGAGAGATATTAACGATCAAACTTTCAATACATTTTTTTGGGACACCCTGTATTTTGAGGGAAATACCACTTTAGTTGATCGCGGTCGCGTGGGATTGTTCTTCCCCATGCGAAAAATCTCCACTGGGCGACATTCAACTTCTAAAACGTCTTACACCTCACTAGCTGCACCTTCAAGTTGAGAGCACCGCTCGTGAAAGCGCAGACTACTGACCAGACCACTCAGGGATACCACTCACAACTGTACTACGGGCACGTTTTTCTGTATCATGGTCAACCATAGCAATTTTCGGTATTTTCTCGGATGAAACAGAATAACATTCTATCTACGAGCGGATCATTATTTCTTTCCCTGATAGTACTGATCAGGTCATCAACAATGAAGTTTGAAAAGTCTTGCTCACAGGTTTGGCTGCTTGCATCGAAATTTTTCAAACGCTGTTGGGACCCGGCAGTAGTTTTTCCAGCGCGCTCACTCTTTGGTGCCATGATTATCAGTTTGTATACGATCACGAGGCACTCAAAAACACAAAAACTTCAAACTGATATATGCAAAAGAAAAAATGAGCTCAAAAATGTTGTTCACACCTTCAAGAGAGTGCGCAAGGAAAGAAAGAGAATGATTCGAACAAAGATAATGACGCATTAGAACAAAAGTCTAGCAATAAGAGACAAAGCACTGACCCTACCGCACAGGACGGCACCGCGTGTAAGAATGATATTAGTTATCATCTATATATAAATTATTCTCAATCTCTGTAAATTTGTTCGTATGCAAGTATGTGGCTTATAGACTCCTTTGTTTGTGAACCGATGAGGCTAAAATTCGCTCCCCTATGATTGAGGGGCGGCGCAGAAGATAGGCTACTTTTCGCGACGATTCACTGGGTCCTTCCATCGATTTATTGATTTGTTTACTTAAATGTAGAAAAATGAAAGCTTTTCATGTTTTGAGCAAGCATTTTTTGTAGAAACGTAAACGAGGGCGGTGAGTTTCATTTACTCTTCACAGCTAGGAGGATGCGGTGTTCCGCCGCGGGACAGCAAGAAAAGAAGAAAAAATCCCTCACAAGAACGGCTGCACGATTCGGAGCAAGAACAAAGGAAGGAGCAGTGAAGATGCCAGTAGCAGCCAAGAAGAGAGGGTAGGTTATTAACAAGTGGTAACAAGCTGGCATAAAACGAGAACAAAACGACGATAGGGAATGGCAATTAAAAGTGGGCACAGGGAAAGATTTGTTAGGAGTAGGGATAGTAACCTTTAACATAATGTTTTGACAGGGCCGAGCGGAGCCGGGTATGCCAGCTAGTTATTAATAATTTTAATCATTTTACATAAGCAATTGCAGCCTTGGCGATTCTAATTACATCAACATTAGAAGTGGTACCGCGCACAGAAACCTAATCACCTCTACAGACTTTGGCTTGCAAGAAAGCTCTCATTTTTGTACTTTCCTAGTTCGTGTAAAGTCGCTGCAACTGTCAAAAAAGCTTTTGTGTCTAAATATGTACATCAAACAATTGAAAAAAGAAAAAATCGCTGTAGATGGATAGCTGGGTATGTGGGTTTGTAATCTTGCGGATTTCATTAAAATCACAGCAATTTATTTTGTTCGAGCAACCTGATTTTCAGAAGGTAGTTCAAGTACCAAAGCATGTGGTTGCTTGATTTTTTTCTCATTCCAAGACAGATGTAGCATAACAAATATATTACTGAGCATACGCATTTAACACATACAATGCGAACAATTTGTGAGATACCTGATAAAAAACGCTTTTTTTTTCAGAAAATGTTCAAATTTTGCCCACATATTTTTTCATACCTTTCGAAACAGCGATCCTAGAGAAGTTGTAAGATATGCCGTTATCGTTTCAAAGTTAATGTCTGACAAATAACAATAGCAAATGATGTGGAAAATCATGCTCCACCGCTTTCAGTAGTTGTCAGTATTGTTTTGCCAACTCGAGGTTTTGGTGAAGCTCTTTATTACATCAGTGGCCTAACGTTTCGAGTACTCGTCGTCTTTGGAGGCCTAAAGCGGTGTGGGATTAGCGATATTATGTCTGCCCCACCAAGTGCTTCATCGACCCTAGGATAGTTTCTCGATCCCCCCTCGAGTTTTACAAGTAAAATTCGCAAGATGGGAAGGACGAACGCACCATTGCTCCACCGCCGGTGCACTTGATGGTATGTGCGACCGCTTCCTTGGGGACAGTAGTGCCAATAAGCCACATTGAGCAACTCATTGTAGATGTAATCATCGTACTTGACAAAAACGGCATGAGATCATTCGTAACGGCTAAGCACTCGTTACTGTTGTTCATAAGCGGTTTTCTGCGCGTGATCCAGAATGCTTCGAGAGCTTTCCGAGCAGAGGTATCTTCTTCATAAGCCAATATTGTACACTTGATTTCGTAGTCTTCGCCGCAATGGTACTCATGTTTATGTTTCCCGAGAGGCGAAACTAGATTACCTTTTCGTTTATTGGCGAGATGTTCTCTAACTCTCACGCCAAGTGCTCTTCCGGTTTCTCCTATATAGCTAGCTCCACAAACTAAACATTCTATCCGGTATATTACTCCCGTCTTCGCGCAGTCATCAATGCTGCTATACGGACAAATAACGCACTCTTTTGAGATACAATATTTGTCATAGAGCCTGTTTCGTACAAGCCGTTTCTTTAAATTATCGCTCGGAACATTTACTAAAATGATACCGTCGCTTAGTTGGCTCGTTTAATACTCTGCCGTATTGCAACACGCTTTCAGTAGTGAATGTGAGTAACTAATAGAACGACGAATGTAGTAGGAAAGCTGTTTGCATCATGACCATTCCTCTAATTTGATTCATACGTCACCTTGGGTCGGAAAATGAACCATACAGTGTATTTCGTCTTCAGAACTTTTTTCTTTGGAACTTCCTTTTTGCAAAAAAGCCCAGGCCACATCCTGGCGTTCATGTTTGTAACCTGCTTTGTCGTTCATGAAAGATACGAAAAACTAAATTTGGTTTAAAAGGAGCAATAGCATCACAACAGAGATCTTGCCCGCTATCATGTTCTATAATTAAGCTTTCACCTTTCGCTAATTGCGAGCTCGGAGCGGTATAGAAAGCAAACTATTCAAAAAGAGGAAGCCGAAAATACTTCTAGAAATCTGGGTAGGAGATATGCGGGTGGTGGGAATTGATAACTATGTTCTGAGCAAACGATGTGAGAGATGTAGTTTTGATAAATTCTCACTTGCTTTCTGCTCCTCGAGGAAAAATAGTTCTAGAGAAAAAAGAAACTGTAGCGAAACAAACTACTGTAGAGCGGAGATGAAACTAGTCGATCCTCATCGCTAACAGAGTTGTGGTGGCTTGTGGCTGCTCTTGGCTGCGTGAGGGACTTCGGTAAACAAAACCGAAGATCTGATGACAAGGATTACTTGTACAAAAAATGGCAGTGCTAAAGTGCAAGTATACTACCACGGGGTGGGCGAGGGGGAGGGGGGTACATGGAGCATAGTGGTAAACAAACACGAAATTGGCACGAACACACATTCATCGGCCGACAGTGACGTCAGATGGGGGTGCCTGCGCTTTATTATATGGTATGATAAGATTACTTTATACAATTGTAATGTGCCATACTGAAAGAAAAACTGATAATTGGAAAGAGACTAAGATATGAAGAATGTGTATAGCACTGAGAGATCTAACCTTCGGTTTCCTGCCCTACTTTTGTTTTTTATTCTACTGCTCCACATAAATAAGCATCTTACACAATCAAGGGCTTCAATGGCTTGTATATTAACCTGCATAAATCTCAGGTTTGCTCTCAACAGCAAAGCAGGATTATTACTCATTGTAATCAAACATCGAAGCAGCAACCTATGTAATGGTCTATTTATCGACCCATCCAACCATCAGTCCATCAGTTTAGCGTGCGCTTATACAAACATGCATAAGTTGTTCCTTTTCTTCATTTCCTTTGCATCGAAAACAAAATGCGTATCGATTTATAAATCAGAGCTACCAATAGTGCGTTTTTGTAGCAGATCACAGTAGATGAAGTCTTGAAATATCTCATAGTTCAGCGGAATTTAACAAATTGAATCAATACTTCACGTTGTGGCAAGGAAGCAGAGCTCGGCACAGGTGGCTTACCGGGCAGGCTGGATATCGTTTTGGAGTAGAAAGCAAAGGGGATATCGTTTTGCGGGGTCCTTGGCGGAGCACAGAGTTGCCCCCCCCCCTCCCCCTTCTAATGCACCTCCATCTTCTGGAGACGTCACAAGTGCTCAGCACTGCCTGCCCTTATAATCGGCGTTCTCGATATATTGTCATTTCTATTGCGAATCACTCATCTTCGCCCATATTTTTTTCATTTTTGTAAGCTACTAAATGCTCGATGCTTTTGTTGTTTTCTATCGCAATGAAAGATGAAGGAGATTGCTTAAAACTTCTCAAACCTGGTCTTTTGATCTGTGCTCTCTTTCTCTCTCGTCTCCGATTGTTGTGGAGTACGTGACCATCAAATTTTATTTTACAGAACTGCCCTGACTTGACTGGGTTATGTTTTTTATTTGTTAACCTAGCCAAAACCCGGGCAAACTGGCGTGGGCCAATCAAAGAACGCAAGCGCTCATTCCCGTCATAAATAGGGTCCAGGTAAGCTTTTCATGATTTACAACTTAAGCTTTGTTACCGTTAAGGTTTCTTTCAAATTTTTTTTTATGCTTGCAGGATGCATTTTCTCAACTAGGAACGACGTAAATTTTGAATTGCCTCGAATTGCTGTAGTTGGTGGACAAAGTGCTGGAAATCATGTAAGTTGTAAGTTGCGATTCTCATGTCATTCAATGTGTTCAGCAGTCGTTTAGGTAATGGATCCAAAAGATGTTCCAAAAAGTATGAAAAGTGGACCTCGATATCTCGCTCCCCCTCACTTGAGAGGAAAAGCCACAAAAGAATCGCTCTTAAAAAACACTGCGAAACCTTCAAAACAAGAGGAAAGGAGCAAGATTGGTTTGTTGAACTTACAGGTTTGTTTGTTTTGATTGCCCGTATCTTATTTATATCAAGCGGGCAAACGGCTCAGGTTGCCTCTCATTCGATGTTCACTATATCTATGTCTTTTGTTTTCCAAACACAGCACAATTGTTGCCAACAAGAAAGTCGATGCTAAAGTCTCGGTGGGATCCCGTCCATGATCCCCTGCGACACAGCTCGTGCAGCACTCCGTGCACTACACGTGCGCCTGTAGTAGGACTATACACTAAAGACGTTGACAAGGGTACTTACAAGGGAGTGTCACGTTCCGAAGAGTTGTACGCCTTGAGCTGATCCCCGTTTTTTATGCGATTTTGTCCCTCGAATTGCAATTGCTAATATTGACGGTTTTGCAACTTTGTGGTGTAGAGCGCCCAAACATCGCGAGCAGAGATGTTGCGTATCTAACACATGCACAAAGTTTAGCTCCGCAATGGTCATCCTTGTCCTTTTAATCATGTGTGCTTTGTACTCATGAAAGCAACACCCACGTTTTTTGCGCATCACTATTCATATAGAGGAAGTACTGTGAACACCCTCAATCTGAATAGTGATGTTTTACTTGAACTGCTATCTTTCAATGGCGCGAATCTACAGGAAAATCGACCATCTCTGCTCCTTACTTATCGAAGGAGACCTATAGAAATCAGAAGCACATTGTGATATCCTTATCACTGATGAAAGGCTCAAGCTCCTTTTTACAAAGTAAACGTGAAACAAGCCAGAGGAAGCAATTAAATAAACTGAAGCATTGTTTACACTTTGAAGCGGTGCCGAGCAGAACTAATACAGTAAGTTTACATCGATTTCGATGCTCTAAGTGAGCGCGGTTTTTCAGAGTCCCCCAAGTACTAAAGCAGCCGTAGAAAAGCTAAAGGTGGACAAAGTGAGTTTACTAGTTTTGTAATAGCATGCCTATGTTTGCTGTTTTTTCATACGCTTGTTGTAGGCCTTTTTTTGAATACATGTTCTGTCTTTTACAATTTATGAATGCTACTGAAGATACTCATAAGTAACCTTTCTTACATAACAGGCAGCTACCCAGTCAGACACGCCAGCTCCTTCTGTCAGACCCAAAAAGACTAAAACACAAAGTGAGCGTAAAAAGATGGAAATACGCCCAGGTTGAAGTTTCCGTCATCTTTAGATAGTTTCTTTCTCAGATTAAGAGCAACTTGCGAACATCGAGAATAGAGAAGTCATCCAAATGACTGTTTGTTACTTATTGTTTAGTTCGTGATTTGTTATTGTTGATATTTGTTGACATATTTGCAGAATTGTACATGTTGTTCCGATAAACAGTCATGGCAACCATTCGCAGTTATTTAAACCAGAGCAGTACCTCTCCCTTTTCGCATGAAATATCGCCTGGCTGTTTGGACCGAGACACCTCCAATCCGAATGACGTTAAGCACTAGCACATCATCAGCGTCGTTGTACAGATAAGGGCTCAACAGAGGAGAATTTTGGATTTTTTGCACTACAAGGCATCCTTTTCGTTAAGACTTTTATCTCATCAGAGCTTTATGCTCTGGTATTTCATGGATATTGTTACTTGCATTTCACTTTGCAGTGTCACTATTGATTTACTACTACGGGCATATGGCCGATCGGCTAGGTACTACCTATCTTCAGCATACCAATCAACTGACGAACCACATTAGATACGAAATTTCTGGAAGGAAGCTTTTGGAAGTCATTGATGTTTCAGAGACACGTTGCCAACTTTGCTGACGAACCACATTAAATACGAAATTTCTGGAAGGAAGCTTTTGGAAGTTATTGATGTTTCAGAGACACGTTGCCAACTTTGCGTGACAGTTTGCAGAAGAAACTTTTTTGCGCTAGAAAAGGATGTTGCTGAATATAAAAATTTTTAGTCAAATGATCCGGGACGGAAAACAAAAGCCTTGCTACAGTTAATTCTTGTACAAGCTTTTTTTGTTTCAAATCAATACCTGAGTGTTCTAGAATGGTGCAACAGTTTACCGTGGACATTGAAAGATCCATTGAGTCTTCTGCAAAATTTGTGACAAATGAACTTAGTGGTGGAGCCAGGGTAGTAGGCAAATTTTGTTTGCATTTTTTTTCTGTGCTGCTGTCTGAATAAATTGTTTTTGAAGTTTTTTCTTTAATAAAACTCGTTCTCTATGTAAAGAGTTCACTGCGCAATCACTGGGATCAGTTTTTGGGTCAAAGGGGTATTTGTAAGAGATTTTTGGGGTCAAAGGGGAATTCGGTTTCAGAAACCCCTTTTGACAACCTTGTGACGGGCCCTGACTACACATTTTCTGGACACTTTGCGTAAGACAAACTTCAGTCAAAGTTGCGCGATCGAGTCGTTTGGCGTTAATTCATTGTATACTAATGTATCCAATAAACATGCTTTACAAGCGTTAGCTGAATTGCTGGAATCGCATGGTGAAAATATGTCGATGTACGGCCTTAGCAGAGCACGCGTCATGGCACTCGTAAAGAAATGTCTGTGTTGCAATACCTTTAAGTGGTCTGGAAAATATTAGGCACTGATCAGGGGGCTCGCAATGGGCCAAAGGTCAGCACCCGTATTGGCAATATGCTTTATGAGCAAGATAAAACAACCAGTGCTACCCAAGGCCCGCTGATGTACTGTCGATATATCGACTATTGCTGTATTGTTACATCAACGCAGTCCGAGATGGACTAATGTTTCAGGATACTCAACGAACAATCGCAGTACATCAGTCTAACGAGAGAGAAACCAAGGGACGGTTGGCTGGTCTTTTTGAACACGCGATGCTGGTAAATGGCTCATTGAGCATTAAGTGGTACCGAAAGGAGAGTAGTAAAAATATCATATACAGGCACAGTCAGCACATCCAGCCGCTGTTAAACGTGCCGTCATTCGAAATATGCTTAAAACGGCAACGAACATCTGCAGCAGTAAAAGCGAAAGACTGGAATTACTGAGATTGGCAACCGAAATCATAATGTCGAACGGCTATGAGGCACGACCCAAGCGAACAAGAAGAATACCAGCAAAAGCCAGCAAGCAGAACATAAAATACCTCTGTGCTTTTCTTTTATCTCTGAGAGGGTTACTAGCGTTATAAAACAAAGCTTTAGAGAAGCGCAGCTCGATGATGATGTTATTCTAGTCAATATTCCGCGTGATAACATCAAAAAACAGCTAATTCGCAACAGGCTTTATGATAAACTTGTATCTCGCGAGAGTGCGTAGTATGCCTCATGGAAATTCCGGAGATTTCGCGAAATCTGGTGTCGTTTACCAATTAGAATGTATGAAATGCTCGGCCATATATCGGTGAGATTGGTCGCCCGCTGGGTGTAGGTGTAAGCAACACTTAGCTAGCAAAAAACGGCAAAGTTTAATGAGTTCGTTAGGAAAGCATCGAAAAGAAGAGCATGACGGTGTGGATTATGACATAAAGTGCAAAATCATAGCTTACGAGCCTCAAATATCAACGCGAAAAGTATTAGAGGCATCCTTCATTCTTGCTCGTAACCCAAAACTTAATAGTAAGAATAAAAAGGTACCCATTACAAATGATCTAATGCCGTATCTGTCTTTCTGTAATCTATAGATTGTCTGCACGTATATAAGCAGTCTCGTAGTATAAACGATGCTCATTTTCGACTCGCAGTCAATCGAACAAGTTCCCAGCAGTCACACTGCTACACTGGTGACACACAAGTGAGTAAATCTCTTCTTTCAAGCTCTCTGCTTTTATGAACGACGAATCGAATACGCAAGTGGAAGACGGTGTTTGACGAAGAGAACGTAGATCATAGTGACTGACTACTTTTAGGTCTCCGACGACGGCGTGTTGCCGAAACGTAAGGCAAATAAAGTGTGTCATCATAAAAACGGCATAAGAAAATCATTGTATCTACATTATAACATTTTTTTCAGGAGTGCACTAGAACCAAGTGATGGAACTAATGCACCTGAGTATATGTTCAAAAGTTTAGAGCTATAGCGAGCCTAGTTAACACGGGGCAACTCAGTTACATCACAATAGTTTCCTCGTTCGTGTTACTCGCATCAACTGCAATGGATCATTCAGATGCTTCTGAAAGTTTCGGATAATAAGACTCAAAGTTTGCAGTCAAAATAAGAACAAGACTAAAAGCCGCTTGCGAACGCAGATCAGCACCTCATTTTTTGGTACAACGCATGCAGAGCCTTCTTTTTCTGCAAAAGCATCGTTACGATTTGCGCTGAAAATCTATAGGAAGCCTCTTGATCTACTATTATAATGACTGATCTTTCTATCAAAAATGTTACATGATTTCCAGGGCTTTAAATAAGAATTTAGCTACGTTCATAAGATACATTTTTCGTCACATAATAAAATGAATAATTTCCAATATATCTTTATGGTGATGTATTGCTGATAATTTGATTTGAGCAAGAAACATTCAAAGGATAACATATAGCGCAAACGATTGGGAAAAATAATTTTTGTGCATGTGCTGCTACGAAGCCTTCGTCTACTGCGCTCGTTTGCTGGAGTGGTGCTGCCTACATGGCATTTGTTGACAGCTGGACCAATAGTAATCCCCAAAGTCGTCACAACTTAAAGAAGACGCGGTCATGACCGCGCAAAACGAACCACAACTTGGACACGACGGGCATTGGCCGCTTGCCGCAAAAAGCTCCGCGATCACCCGTCGTCGAACTTGCAATGACAGCAGTGAGCGGCACATACAGCCACCACGCTTTAGACAATGTTTCTGTTAGAAGTCTGAGCAAGAGAAAGATGCATAAGTACATATATAGGCCCTCAAGCTAATATGTTGAAAATAGTAAGCAGCCTCGTTGAAGCCGATTCTCGCTTGTGAGCAAACAGCTATCACTTTGTAATTGTAAACACTAGGCTTCGAATTTTGGAATTGGAAATACCACTGCGGATAGCGCAGTGCCTAGGTCGCGCGCTACTAGCTCGACGTCTGGAGCACATGTCACAATTACGGCAAGTATTTTGCAAAGCGATATGAAAAAACACATGCATGCCAATTTTCTTTAGTGATTTTAAGTACATAGCTTTTGGATGGAAACTGACCTGCAAACAAAATTCTCAGATAATCGTGAGGGGGGGGGGGGCAAGTGGCCATGCGATTTATGGGCAGGCGGGCACCGGAGAGATAGTTCGCTGATTGCGGCCCGCTTGCAGAAATTTGGAAGTTTGTTGGCCAATTTTTAAATGAATGCTCGGAGAATAATCGCGGTTTTTCTATAGTATAGCTGACTTTCCGGAGAACATGCAAAATCATTGAGGGCCGCGCGATCCTTTGTGAAGAACCGCACTGTCCAGAGTATCTTCCGCTGAAAGTAGGTACCCCAGACCATCGATGACACCTCTGCCACATAGAACTCACCTTTGCTGGCGTACGCCCGAGACTGCTTAAAAACCGTCCAAGCGTCAGCTAAGAATTTGACCAGCGTTCGCTGTAAGAATTTATTTGATTACCACTTGCAGAAAATTTTGTATTGCTGCCCGCTGGCAGAGCATGCGACAGCAAAGGAAGTACCGCTCGCTGTAGGTTTGGCCACGCCCCAAAATTCTGCTGACCGCCCGCAGGAAAGCGCGAGTTTGCGGACCGCCTGCCCCCGGCGATTGTCTGATATATTTGAGACACATTAAGAAATATACAAAATTATAAGACTTTCACTAAGTCGATCTGTACTAGTTGATGCTACTTCATTAGCCACGACACCAAATCTTTCCTTACTCAAATGAAAGGAAAGCAAGTGGTTCACAGCTAGTGAAAAGCAAAAAAACGGCCAAAAGTTCTGGTAAAAACTGCACAATTTGCGAGAAATCGTAAAATCAAGGCATGCAGAAAAATTAGACCAAACCGGCTGCAAAACGAATATCGAAGCTAAAAACCGCTTGAGAGCAGCAATTTTAGCTGAAAAGGACCTGAAGATGCATTCTAATATAAACTGACTTACTTTCTCTAGGTTCCGAAGCAAAAGAAGAAATAATAGCAGGAAATGGAATAAGATTAGCTGTGCGCCTCGCGACTGTGCACTAACAGCTGTTCATATTGATTGTGTTTGACGTGCATTTTGATTCTTTGCGTGCATCTACGGAAAACGGGCCTCACCACCATCCCGGACGTACTCG